CTCAGTGAGTTGCCTCCCGAAGTCTTTGCAGGGCTCAGCAGCTTGCAGTCGCTCAGCCTGCAGTCCAACGGTCTCAGTGAGTTGCCTCCCGAAGTCTTTGCAGGGCTCAGCAGCTTGAAGTCGCTCGACCTGGCGCTCAACCGTCTCAGTGAGTTGCCTCCCGAAGTCTTTGCGGGGCTCAGCAGCTTGCAGTCGCTCTACCTGTCGTGGAACAGTCTCAGTGAGTTGCCTCCCGAAGTCTTTGCAGGGCTCAGCAGCTTGCAGTCGCTCGACCTGTGGAACAACCGTCTCAGTGAGTTGCCTCCCGAAGTCTTTGCAGGGCTCAGCAGCTTGCAGTCGCTCGACCTGAGGGACAACCGTCTCAGTGAGTTGCCTCCCGAAGTCTTTGCAGGGCTCAGCAGCTTGCAGTCGCTCGACCTGAGGAACAACCGTCTCACCAAGGTTCCTGGAGTTTGTGATCTCGACGCTGTCAGGTGTTATTTGTACTAAAATGAGATAGCCTTTTGAGATGTCCTCCCGAAACCTTTGGTATGGCAGCGCAAAAAGTTGGCAGAACTGGCAGCAGAGCCGCTGTGTTATCGTTGCGTTTTGGCATTCAAGTGTCGCACCGAGAAGCCCTTGATCTGTTTGAGTTCGACTCATGGGATGTCAGAATCACCCAAGGTGACAGGCCCCGTGCTCGGGTGTCAGATCCTACCCCTCCCAAGCAAAGAAGACTAGCAGAGGCAACCGCATGTTTGCCTTGTGAGAATGAGGTGAGGGATGACGATGTTCTGCTGAGCTATACTGGTGATGAGGCAGACACGCGTGTCTTCTGTTCGCCATTCTAAAAAAGGAGATGTCGAACTCGTCCTTCATACTTTTCGTTCTTCAGGATAGAACAGAAACATGAAAGGGCGAGCTTGAGAGGATTCATGGATTCTAAAGGTCCAACAGAGACGCAAAGAGACGGTCTGACGAAACACGTTCTGCCGGTGCCATGTACAGAATGCCAAACTCAAACCGAAAGAAGGCTCTCTGATGTTTCCCCATTTTGCTGCAAGTAGGTCTAGCATCCGAAGTGTGTACCTTGCCAGGACTTTTTGCCGAATGTAATTCTAAATAGCATTCCTGTAAAGACATCTTGCATGTTCACTGAGCCTCCTTTGCTCAGCCAACTTTGGAGAACATCAAGATGCCCAGGGGCAAGGCTGGAGAGGGGAGAAACGGAGAGACTGGTGCAAGCGGTCAAAACGCCTGTTTATTTGCAAATTGGGGACATCGTGAGAACGAACACCCAGAAAACGACTTTTGATCATGGTTGGACGTTTGTCGGACTTCGTTCGGTTGGAGGCCATCTAGGTTAGAGGTTAATTCTGGTCCTTTCTCTTTTTCAATCAAAGGGTCGGACAGAAGGCTCCAAAGACGAACTCACGCGCTGTGGACAACAACTCACGCGCCAACAGCACTGTGGGCACCTGTTGGAGTGTCTTGTTGCAGGTGCTGTTGAGACTACTGGAGGAGCAGAAGGAGCGGAAGCCGATGCCGACGGAGGGCGGATGGCGAACAGAAGTGGTTCGGTTGGCACATGACGGATGGCCATGGACGAGACATAGAATTCACGAGATTTGAGTTTGATTAGTGACAAGAAACTACTAGGTGGAGGCCATGTTGGAGGCCTTTAGATTTGTCTGAGCACGACTTGCCGAAACAGCTTAAGCTAGTTGCCCACAAGAGCTTGGTTGGAGTTCCAAAGTTGCAGGAGTCACAAGGCGGCATTTTGCTGTCCAAGGCCTAAAGAGTCAAGTTGGGAAAGATCGGCAGAGCTGATAGATCGAATACGAATACAATCTAATTCGAGATCAGTGCTTTCTGATGAACTTGTCGAGAATCAGATACGCAAAGATATGGCTTTGAGTTGCGTAGTACTTGCAACAGTGATATAGATCCTTTTGCCGCAACGAAGATGCAGGGTGCTGCCAAGCCTGACACCACTGTCGGCGAGGTGCCTTGCGCGGTGTTCTGGGAAACAAGAGCTTTTAAGTTGGCAGCGAAGGGCAGGCAGAAATACATTTGAACGCCGAAGAGAAGTTCTTTGGATCTTGCTCACATTTCCAGCTCCGTTGCAGATTGCAAGCTCCTTTTTTTAGCAGTTGTAAGTTGTGCTTGACCAATTAGACATCCAAATCCCCCTGGATGAGCTGTTTGCTTTCTCCACAAAGGGCATCGCGACGAACGAAGCGGTCGGACGCTACTAGGGGCTCCTGGCATCGTTACGAACGGAGCATTCTTACTACGAACGTAACAAGAAGCTACTAGGAACAAGTGCCACGCTACTAGGAACAGGTGCCTTACTAGCAGTAACAAGAAGCTACTAGAAACAAGTGCCACGCTACTAGGAACAGGTGCTCCTAGTAGTTTCCTTTGCTTGTAGTGACAATTCTAATTAATAGCTTCTTGTTACTACTAGTAAGGCACCTGTTACTACTAGCGAGGCACTTGTTACTAGTAGCTACTAGTACTTTAGTAATTCCGGTCAGAATGCACTGCGAGGTGGTCGCCGTTGGAGACGATGATCTTGATCGAAATGGGAAGCCTGTGCCGATGGACAGAGATGCCGACTATTGGCCGTTTGATTTGCAACTTGTAATGTTTGGTCTCATTAGACCTAGGCCCTTCCTCTACTTCAGGAACGCATTACAAATGTCTCACAAACATAGGTTCGTTTTTGAGTTGTTCTGATCAATGCACAAACTGATGCAAAACTCGCAATACTAAACTGAAAGCAACACTCGATTTTGGTGCGATTTTTTTGAAAAACGCTTTGACAGGACGTTGAGGTGGGCGACCTGGTGCGCTTCCGCTTTGGCAGTGAGGCGGTCGATTCGCCTCGATGGGCGATGCGCCTGATTTAAAAAAGAACACTCGATGGCCTCCCCTAAGAGCGTCCGATCGCTCCGTTTGTAGCGACGCCCTTTGTTACTAGTAGCGTCCTTGCTCCTACTATCGATGGCCTCCCGACGCGCGATGGCCTGGCATATTTTCTTTCACCTTGAACACTGCAAAGATCCGCAACACCAAACCCGAAGAAAGGAGAGTGTTGCTGCGAGAAAGCCACAACAAGGCCTTAGGGCTGGAATACCTGGCACCTTAGTGCTTACAAGCACACAACTAGATGTTCTTCACATCAAAGCATTTTGGTAGACCCATTCAATCCCTTTTTCCACATTGATCCGCCTTTTTTTCAATAGAACATCCGCCTATTTCAACCCCAATCAATTTTCCAACCGAAAGCTCTGAGTTCCTCGGGAGGTGAAACTCGACCTGGGCAAGGCGGAGTTCCGATCGGTCTCGGCCTCCGAGTGCCCGGAGCGCCCAGCGAAGGACGCGAGGGACGCGAGGGTGAGGGGATGAAACGAACGGAGGACAAGGACAACCGAACGGAGCTACGTTCGGGGCTCCTGGCATTGCTACTAGGAGCAAGGACGCTACTAGAAACAAGAAGCTACTAGAAACAAACAAAAAGCGCTATTAGGTGGAGGCCATCGCCATTAGGTTTGAGTCTTCGACTTATAAATATATATATATATTATATATAGAGAGATATGGTTTTAACCTGTTTTAAGGTTGAAAGGGGAGGGGTTTAGGCCGCAAGTTGGCTTAAGTAGCTAGTAGATGCCAGTGGCACAGGGTGCAGGAACGCTCAGTCTTCTTCAAGGAAGCTCCCGCCTGATGGACAGGGGAGCTTCCTTGAAGAAGCCTGAGCCTTAAGGAGTTAACGAGTTGGTTCCTAGATTTCTTGGGAGACTTAGACTCAAATTAGAACTATAGTTTTACCTGAATTGAATTGAGTTGACGTGGTCTAAACATAGGTTATTTTTTGGGTTGTTTTGTTGAAACGAGAGCACTGCTGCGGCCCGCCGAAGCACCGCCGAAGCACCAAGACGGCTGTCCTTCTCAGGCCTGGCGAAATGGAAGTGACGCGGAGTGACGATTTTGAGCTGGCAGAGGGAGAATTGGACATTCTGTTCATTAAAAAGAACGAAGTTGCAGGCCATCGCTACTAGGTTGGAGTCTTGGAAAAAGAACGAAGTGATGTTGAGAAAGTTGAAGAGACTTGGATTAAAGAATTGAAGGATGGAATTCAACGTTGACCATGAAAAAGGCCGCTACGAACTCTTGAGATAGAAGGATCAGAGCTAGTGAGATCTTGTCAGCTCTAAGGCCAGCGACGCCAGTCGGAGCGTCTCTTCCCAAGATTTATAGGGGGAAGGTGCAGTGAGATTTTGGACGGGAGTAGCGCCTTTGGCGCTCAAATACTCCTTGGTCGAGATTTTGGTCAGTGCGTCACGTGAGCAAAGAACGAGCAGGACGGTGTCAGTGCGTCAACTCCCAGAATCCGACGCTGATGGACGTTGACGTCTTGTGTCATCTTGTGTCTATTTCTTCGTGACGCACTGGAAATGCAGCTCCCGAGTTTTGCAGGGTTTCTCCCTACCTGAAGAGATCTGTTCTCAGTGAAAGACTGAAAGACCTCAAATCGGAGAGAAAAAGGTGTTTTGGCCGATCTCGCGCCTGGCTCACTTGGCTCTTGGCGTTAGCTTGCCTGTGACATAGAAAGCTCGGTTCCAACAAGACGCGTAGAGGCCATCGCAGGTTGGAGGCCATCGCTAGTAGGTTCGAGGCCACTGCTAGTAGGTTGGAGGCCATGGCTAGTAGGTTGGCGGCCATCGCTATTAGGTTGGAGGCCATTGCTTCTAGGTTGGAGGCCATCGCCATTAGGTTTGTATGCTTCGTTTCATTCATTCCAACTAGGTTACGTCATCAGCTTTAAGTTGCAAGTTGCAACCCGTCTTGGACACAAGATCTCCGAAGACGAGTGCGGCGCTGGAGAATACGTTAAGCACGCGTTCTTGGAAACCTTCCTCCAGACCTCAGGCTTTCCTACGGCCTTTGGAACTAGTAACCAGAAGCTACTAGGGGCTCCTGGCCTTACTACTAGGAGCAAGGACGCTACTAGGGGGCTCCTGTCATCGCCACGAACGGAGCATTCTTACTATGGCTTTGGAACATCATTTTGTAACGTAAATTGCATGCGTTTTGGTGCAAAACCGGAGAAACGTACATCTTCGCCACTTGGCGTTTGGACGTGCGAACGTCTTCGCGGTGCGAGCACCTTCCGCATCTCCGTGGCGACAGCCTCGACCCCCTCGGGCCTTCGGCGACCCGCCCGTTGTCTTTCAGATCGCCTCGACCCGGGGGAATCACTCCGAGTCAAGGACGCTACTAGTAAGGCAATTTTAATAGCTTCTTGTTACTACTAGTAAGGCACTTGTTACTACTAGTAAGGCACTTGTTCCTAGTAGCTTCTTGTTACTATTTCCGTTTCTTATCTTTAGATCTTTCTTTTCTTCTTTAGATCATTCTTTAGATCATTCTTTATCTTCAGATCTTTCTTTCTTTTCTTTAGATCTTCTCCTTTCTGTGCCGTCGTGCCTTAGGTTTTCTTTCTGTGCTCATATGTCTTTATCTTCTTTTCCGATGTTCCTGGCCACCCCTGTGTTCC